ACAGACCTCCAAGGATGGTCAAATTTTCCTGGAGCACTTCTGTTGATTCTATGTTTAACTATAAGTTCTTGAACTCATAATCTAAATGCTTGTTGGAATAACTTCCATCCTCTACTCACTCAATTTTTATGTTTGAGCTATTCTTATTGTGGCTTTTCTTCTGACAGGGATATGGAAAGCACCTCTGGATAATGAAAGGAATGTTTAAAGCAAATGGTGGATGCGGCTATGTGAAAAAACCTGACTTTTTATTGCAAAGGGGTCCAAATGATGAGGTTTTTAATCCTTATGACGAATTCAGCGTCAAGACTGTTATGACCGTGGGTGAATTTAGCCCTACTTATAAGTCCATCATTTAGTTCCTTCAATAGAATCTAGATGTCAGTCTTTCATAGCTGGAATCTTTAAGATGTGTGTTTTTTTCATGTTTACAGGTGAAAGTTATCCTAGGAGAAGGTTGGCATCAGGATTTCCCCCACACAGCCTTTGATCGCTATTCTCCGCCGGACTTCTATACAAGAGTGAGATGATTAAAAGTCCATACGTAACTGAAATTCCTAATATGTTTCAAATGCAGTTCACTGTTTCACTTTCCTAATTCTCTTTCAGATTCTGTGGAAATGAACCTTTGGGAAATAAACAGGACAAGTATGCAGGTTTTGATGACTAATTAATCTGTCTGCAGATTGGAATTGCTGGCATTCCAGCAGATCGAGATTTAAAGGAAACAGAAAAAATTGAAGATGAATGGTTACCTGTATGGAACGAGGAGTTTGAATTCCTGTTACGAGTTCCTGAATTGGCTGTGCTTCGTATTGAAGTCCTTGAGTATGACACTACAGGGAGACCTGATTTCGGAGGCCAAACATGTTTGCCTGTATCAGAGTTAACAACTGGGATCCGGACAGTTCCATTACATAGCAAAAAGGGGGATAAGTACAAGCATGTCAGGCTTCTTTTAAGCATCAAATTTGGGCTACCTTATGATTTCTGACTACTGAAATTTGTTTAATATTTGTAATGAATATCATACACTGCAAACATTGCTCACTGACGTTCCTCAGTCTATTATGTATTTCCTTCATAAATCAACAGAGAAACCTCGCAAGGTGCATATAGTCTTGGATTGCATCACCACCAGCTTGGTATCAATGTTCAATAAAAAAAATTAAATTACATCAAATAAAAGTTTAGTGGAGCTGAGTTGATTGTCAGTACCTAATCCAACTTCAATGACAAGAAGTTAATTTGATTATCATACTTTCTTTTATTGCACAACAGTTCATAGGATTGTGTTTGACATCTCAAACTGTTTTACTTCACCAACAACACAACACAATTTTCTTCAGTTGTCTAAACACAAAAATCAGTCAAGTCCCAAGTTCTTGACCTTGGAAAATATGGGTGTGTCAGTTTTCGTTCAATCTTTAATGCTTACGTAACGTTGCTCCATTGCTGACACATTAGAACACTCTCCAGAACTGTACACCTTGATTGATTCAATCCACGCTTTGAAATGATCTGAAAACCTGGACGAATGAGACGATGCCAACCTTTTGACAAAGCTTACTTAGGTTTGCAAAAAAATAAAAATAAAATAACCCAAAGATCTAAATGTGAATGTTAATTCTAAGTCATTGAAATGGTGGACATCAACATTCCCAGAATTTTCAGTTTGGACAGGGATTTGAACCATTTAGTCATATTTCTAGGTCAATTTTTTGAGGTTCCATTCGTCCCCCAAGTGGATTATTCAGCGTTGCATTTCTTTGACAAGCAATGAATGCTTAGATAGTCGCATTACACACGCCAAGTTAAACTGATTATGTTTTTTTTTTTTATTTGAACTACATGGTAAACATGGTATGTATTTATCTTTTTCACTTAATATTATTTTCATTTTTTTAATACTTGAACTATTCCTTCTTGACTGACTATTTAATTTTATGTACAAGCAAGTTCCTTTTGGATTAATCTTCTATTTTAATACATATATAATTTAATTAATATCAAAAGCTTTGAACAAGTCATATGATGACAGGAAGGGTTTACAATTATCTAGGTATCTTCAAAGTAAAATTCATGGAATATTGACAAAATTTGTTCAAAAGTTTTGTTAGATATCTTCAAAGCAGCATAACATACTACCATACGAGTAGATGAAAACCCAGATTTTTCTTTTTTCCCTACTCCTCAACTAGCTTCTGTAATTCTACCAGAACCAGTTCCTAGCTAAAAGCTTGGATGCCTTAAGAAAATTGTTGCAAGCATTGGGACAATTTGCTCCGCTCGGTTTCTTTGCAACAGGTATGGGAATGAAAAACAAAAAGGGAAAATGAATAGGAAGAGATCTAAATTACTTATTTCTTAATTATATTTATAGATTGGACCCTTGATTCTGATATTTTTAAGCCTAAAATAATGTAAATATTTGTGGATTTGTGATATACTAGTGGCCTATTAGACTTACCAGTCAACATTGACAACCCAAATTTAAAGACTGACAAGAGCATATTAATGAAAGATAATACATTAGTGTCAATTTCTTAAAACTATGTTAATAATTGATACTCTAGCAGCCTTATAATCTTTCAGATATTCCAATAATATTAACATGTTAATTTAGCAGACAATTATGAATAGTTGAATAAGATAAGGTCTATGTATAACTAAGTGATTAATTTTATAACCATGACATATTAATTTATTAAAATCTCGATTCTAGAATCAAAGGGAAAGGTTTGAATCTTTGCAGTGAGAGCTTATGAAATATGTATAGTCCTTTTCTCACCTAGAAGCTCCCTAACCCAATTGAGGTTTTGTGCAGACAAGATTTCCTTCCAATTCCCAACTTCTTACAGTACAACCTAGAGGAGACACCAATTAAAAATTAAGAATCTTAGGTTAGATTTCCCTTTTTATTTCAACCACTCTTTCTGAAAAAGGGTTGAATTGCATTGACTAACTCTGAGCAATGCTACATATAGCTTGTTCAAATTACTACTATAGATTTTATAAACATTGATTTGTTCCGGTGATCACATGAGATTACTAATGACTCTAGCTCTTAATAAGTTGACAGCATTCATGAGGTTCTTATACTCTCAATTGACTTCTCAACCACAAAAACATCATTTAACTAATAAATTTGCAATGCTTTCTACTCAATTGATGATACATGTGCTGCACCAAAAATTAAGTGAACATCTAAGGGTAAAAAAAGGGTTTATGGAAAAAGAAATGATACATGTTCCGAGTCTGATTCTTTACCTAAAGGGTCAATTAGTATATGTGCTTTCAATTAATGTTGTATGTATCTGGAAAGGATTTCTCATCTATAAATTAAAAGGGAGACATACAAAGACATCTATCTCTGATTTTGGCGATCAGTTCTTTTTGTTCCAGAATGTGCATTGCATATATATGCATGGCAAGGCATTAAATTTCGCTTGATTTCGTGAATGAGTGGAATCTACTCTTCCCCCTTTTAAGGTATCAAATCTAAGACTTGTAAGTTACAACTGCTTCTTTGAAACCAGCCTTCATCTCCTCCCACAACAGCCTAACCTCGAGTTGGTGATAGGGGATATTTTGGACAGGAAGAAAAGGTTGGTAATCTGCAGAAAGTGAGAATTTAACATCTTATCTGCAGTCTTCTTTTAATATATGTGAATATTATGGTTGGTCAGCTAATGTTTGCCTATTGCTTACTTCATAGACGTGACCCTTTTGGCCATTTGGATTTGGACTAGTCTTTGCCAAAAACCAAAACTGTGGACCAGTCTTGGCGGGTAAACTGGGACTTCATATAACCAACTTTGGCGTCTATCCAATTCCTACCTTTTTTTGGGTCTTCCTACTATTAGAGCAACGACTAACGAGAAACGACCTTCATCGTCTTCTTCTTCTATTTGGTGCCAGATTAAAGAAAGCGTGTCTTCTGCTTTCATATGATCCTTATGTAGAAGATTTTTCTACAGATGTTTTACTATTTATTGTTTTCGGTTGTCTCTTTCACCTTCTTGCATGCTTCTGAGCTTTGAGCTAGAGCCGTCTGCATTTCAGGTAAGCCTTGTTAAGGTTTTTAATGTGTTTTCCTCAGTTTCTTCCTCTCTTTCTCTGCCTTTATTTTGTTTTTCTCTTCTGTTATGTTATTGATTGCATGATCAATTGAAGGCAGCTGTTTTTCCATCGCATAATAAATTTTTCCGATGTTTCAACATTGATTGAAAGTTATCAATAAGTAAACCATCTGTGTGAAATTGAAAACAGCTGCCAAATCTGCAAGCTTTTCTCCTTTTCTGTTTCGAACCTGATCACCTTGAGCTTCTTTCTCGAAGTTGACCCTTTCTTCTTGTTTTTCTTCTCAAGAAATTCATGTCAAAGACTTCTCTTGTTATATAGTGGCAACATCTTCCATTGAATGATTTTTTTTTATTATTTTGCTCTTCATTCTTCACTTTGAAATGATCAGAAGGTATCTACGTGGTTTTTTTAAGTTCACAAACAATAATTGATGATGTCAAAATCAGAAAATTTCAGAAACTTTTCAAACATGAATGAGTCCTCCCTGCTGATTAGTTCAGACAGAAGAAATAGTCAGAAAAATGTTTGTCACCTGTTCTCGCCATCTTGTATACATGTTATCTGCTGTTCAATTCTAGTATTTGGTATAGGAAAATACCCAAGTTCCCTTTTTTATTGAAACTGTGTTTTTTAATTATCAGGTTTTACAGACCTATTAGTTGAAATCAAGCGTCACAGAGGATTCAGGCTTTAAGGGATCATTCCTTGTTGTGTTCAACATGGGAAGGGAACTTCATGAACATCTTGATGATGTTGAACTTGAGAGTTATCATCCAGGTTGCATGGGGGGCATATTTAATGTTCTTGACTACCATCATTGGTATAATGTCAAAAAGATGTTCCTACATAGAAAGTACAACAGAGGAAGACATGTCAAGTGTAAGCAAATCTCCCCTCCTTCACCTCTCTCTTTTTTAATACTGCGCCTATATTTTATAATTTCATCTTGATAAGTTAACAAATAAATCAAATTCTTATTACCAGAATCAAATATAATTCATAATAAATTCTACAGTCAAAGAATTATATGATTATCATAAAACCCTTTTGGCTTTTCACATTGACTTATTAGCAAGAAGCTACTTGTTTCTGAAGTGTAAAAGAACCTTATTAGAAAAACAAAAAATTGAGGCATGACCATTTTCATATGTAGTGTACAGAAAATGATGTCAAAGATTTATTATTAATCTGGTGCAGTTAGTTGAAAGATATAACAGTGTTGGATTGGATGCTTTTGTTATTAAACTACAATTAATGAGTATTCTGATGCATCCCCTGTTATTTTCTGCAATCTATCATACATGTCATCAAAGCTAGAAGGCTGCAAAAGTCTGTATCCCCTAACAACCACAGGCAGCAAAATTTTATCTATGAAGCTGCAAAATGCTTGGTATGGATGGTTCAATTTGAGCTATTTCGATTGCACCAGTAATATGCATTTATAGATAAGCAAGCAGAGTAGTTGTTCACTACTATATGAAACTCGTTTAGATCTCATCTTAAGCCTTTAAAACAGGTACATATTTCCCTACATAAATCTGATTCTCCCTTGCCAACTTGATTCAACCAGATCGTATGACCCATATGACGTTGTACTTTGTCTGGAAGCTCATTGGGATTCCTTAATGCTTAGAAGAATTTATTCTTAATTGCAGGCTGTGCAAATCCACAAACTATATCCATAGAACGTGAACCAGGTGAAACCCGAGGACTCTTAGGTGGAGAGGCGGGCCAAATCCAAGTAAGTTAAGATAAAATTCCAAGTGTTTTCATATGTATAATACATATGATGATCAACAGCTAAACTTAAGTTGCAGTTGTTGTTCAATCATGCAATGGAATTGTTTCTTTTGCATCCAACAGAATATCAAATTGACTTGCCTAATTTAACAGGTTCAACAGCAAACAAGAAATACAGGTTCAACCAACCGGAACTCCAGTAAAGCTTACACAAAGGGGTTAACCAGTAACGAGAAGCCCAAGGAAAAGAGCAATAAACATCGGATTTTGGGCTTTTCTGCAAGGCCACAGGTACAGCAAACCGATTCAACCCATCATCTCGAACCTTCAGGTTTTGGTCTTGGTTGGATGAATCCAATTATTCTCGTCCGCAAGAGTGCCGACACCTCTGATACCAGCCCGACTTCCTCTCTGCCGGAGACCCTGAGGAAACAAGTTACAAGGAGCAAAAAGCCTGATAGCAATGACAGAGTGAATGCAGGAAACCACTTGGAACGTGAGGAGAATTCTAAGAAGCATGCTACCGTCCAGAAAAAGTTCGATAAGAAAAGGGGAACTAGAACCTTAATAAATCAGAAGCCAATGGCTAAGAAGCTTAACAAAGAAGTTCCAAATAATCAGGTTAAGGAGAGCAGGGATGTTTTGGAGATATTTAAGGTCAACAAGGATTTATTCCTAGATATTCTGCAAGATCCGGAGGTTGGTATTTCACAGCATTTTCCTGGAAAGCAAACTTACAAGACGTTAAAGTTAACAAAATCAGGGTCATTTCCAGTTTCTGATTCACCTCGCACTAGCTATCTTAGGTCTAGTACACTTGAGCACAAGCAAAAGGAAGTTTGGTCCTTTGGAAAAGGAGAAAAATCATGTTCTGGTACTCGATTATCCAAGTCAGGGGCGTTGAGAACTGAAGATGGATTTAGGAGCACCATAACAGAAGAAGCAAGCTCTTCATCCCAGGGACCTGATTCTCAAAGGTGGAATCATTTAGTTATGAGCCGTCTCAAGTATATGAAGCATATAATTAAGCAGGCCCTCAAGGAAAGGAGAAAGGGTATTAACCACACAATAGTGGATGGAGTCACCCTCCAGATTTCTTCAAGAGATACATTGTGCACACATGAGAGAGAGATGTCTGAAAGCTTGGAAAAGACAACTGTGGAACAAGATAGTATAAAAACTTTCAGTAGTTCTTATCAGACTGATGCTTCTGATCCCGATACCAGCGATGGTAGATGCAGCAAGATAAGAAGAACAAAATCTATAAATGAGTCATTAGATAGATATACTCAATTGTTTGAGCATAGTGTAAGCAAAGAGGCCAATTTGCATCACTCTAAAAGCTTAACATTGACCAATGAAGATAAAGTTCCATCAAGAAGGTGTGCTCCGAAATTTTTCAGAAGGATTTCCTCTCTATCTGATCTTGAGTCCTTCTGCTCCCTTCTACATGAGGTGTCACGTGATGCTCTTTCTTCAGAGATACCAATTAGGAGTGTTTTAAATTATGATGCAAACAGGGAAAGCGATGGGCATAATGAACCGAACTCAATTAGTTTCCCTGAAGATATAGATAAATTTGAACTAGTGGAAGCTGTTCTAGAAGCTGAGTTACAGGAAAAAATGACAGAAAGAAATAACCGCAGTTCAACTGTTTTATTAGTGGATAGAAAGCCTCAACAAATTGCCAAACCATGTGACTTCGATGAAGACATTGTTGAGTTGGCAGTGGAGAAAAGCAGTCCTCACCTAGAGCATGAGAGTGTTTGTGCAGTCAATCCAAGTACAGAGCCTACACAACAAAGTTCAGATTCAGATGACATAACTAGCAAGGCAGAGCATCCAATCTCAGAAGGTAAATATGCCTACCTCACAAAGCATAATTTGTAAACTTTCATTTCCTTGAGCTAATGTAATTGCTTTAGGTATGATATAATTGTTCTGTTCTTGATATTGTTGGAGGAATGGCTGCTAATTGTAAATTGCTTTGGCTAAACTTTTGTCAGGTCTACAATTGAATTGTCCAAACCTTCCTACAGATGAAACAGATTCTTCCACCTTCTTAAAAGACCCGTACAATACAGATTCTTTACCAGGCTTTTGCCACACAACAAGCCACGAAAATGTTGAGTATGAAACCTTGGGGATCAGTAGAAGCTTCTTATTCTTTGAATCAGATAAAGAGGATGATCCTTGCTACAATAATATAACAGATAATCTTGAGCTGCCAGGTATCATACAAAATGAGTACCTCCAGACATGGTACTCACCAAACCAACCATTGAACCTTTCATTGTTCAAGGAATTGGAGACTTTGTTCCGCCCTGAACTCGAACGCTCCTTTCAGGAAGCTGGAAGCAACTATGATCAACAGCTCGTTTATGATCTGGTTAATGAGGCACTTCTTGAGAGCAATGAAAAATCATCTATATACTTCCCAAAGCCCTTCTCCTTAAACTGTCGCATTAGTGCAATGCTTAAGGAAAACAATGTTCTTCAAGAGGCGTGGACAAAAGTCAGCTGGAACCTGGCCTCCCGACCAGTACATGACCAGTCATTGGATGATATTGTAGCTCGGGATTTCGCCAAAGATGCATGGATGAACCTTGAAGCCGAAGCAGAATTTGTGGCACTTGAGCTAGAAGAATTAGTTTTTGAGCAGCTTTTAGATGAAGTTCTTTGTTTTTGAGACAGTAGTTTAAGCCAAATAGATTGCTTCCTAAGAAAAATAGTGGTTGATTTCTCCAACTTCTTTTTTTGTGTTTTAATTCAACAATACATGAATCTAGATCATTCATAAATATGGGTTCTTGATGAAATCCATGTTCATGAATTAACAAGATTTTATATTGTAGAATTATAATTGTAAGATATATGGTTCCTTGAATTAGTACACAAAATCCTTTTTTATTTTTATATAATAAATGTTTTGTATAAATCACTATTACCTTTATTGCCACCATTTCTTGGATGTAAAAAGAAAGAAAAACTTATTACAATCTTCAACTAATGAAACTAAATTTTTTGTGATCAATAATTTCTGTTTAGGTTTATAAATTATGAACAAAAATCTTCTGTATCCATTTGATATTCTTTTCATAATTTTATGTTACGTATCTATTTTGATATTATCAATAAAAAATCTTAACTCTTAAATTTTAAATTCAAAATCTTAAATTGTAATTTCAAAATTAAAAATTTTAAATCTTAATCTCTAAATTGTCATATGAAAAGTTTAATGAACACGTGACGTAAATTTATAAATAAAGATATCAAGTAAAACATCAAATGAAGGCAGAGTATTTTTATTTCAAAAACTATAGCTTTTTTTGGAATGCTAAATTTTACTTATATATAGAGTATTTCATTCAAATTAAATGCACAACCTATGTTCAAATGACAAAAGAAAAGAAAATGATAAATTAGTTTTTAAATACTCATCATATTCACAAGTAACAATTACTCTTTTTGGGCCTATTTATCCTTAAGCCCAACTTCCAATCTCCATATTAGTGTCATGTCGAAGTAGTAAATCTTGGGCTCAGATCAGCACGTTCTTTTTCCAGTTGGGCGCCAGTAATCACCAATCACGCAGCCTTTCATTTCACCCACATGTGAGTCAGTCACCATCCTTTGGGCACCATGGTTTCCGCTGCCTACAATGACAGCCAGCAAAACCATCTTCCAAATATCAGGTTTCCCTACTACCTAGCCATCACCATGTCACCCACACAGGCTGAAGGTGAACGGTTTAAGCCGATTAGGGTCGCATTTATTTATTTTGTGAAGCAATGAACATTAACTTTTTGATAGAATGCTTGAATGGGCGCCTCCTCTTTTTTGATTTGTATTGCTTAGTTAAATTAATGAATTTATGAAACTCGTCAAGAGCAAAAATGTGGGTGCACCGAGCGAAGCCTCTTTTGCAATTACAAACCATAAGCAGATGTTCGAGATCGCCATGCTACATTTTCTCTTTGCTTTCTTACTCTGACGTTCCTCACAAGAAGACCCCTTTACAGGTTTGCCGTGTATCTTCATCTCATTTGCTCACTTTTTGAGGGGTTTGATTCATATGCTTATGAATTGTATTTGATATTTGGGGTTTTATGGGCCTCTTTGCAGGAGACTAGAATGAGAGACAGGTTTACACTCTATGCCAAAGGAGGTGATGGTGGTAATGGCTCCACCAGTTTTCGCCGTAGCCGCCATGATCGTCGTGGTAAAGCTGATGGTGAGTTTTCTTTCAGTGTGTCCTGTCTGTAACCACTCTTTCATATGGTTACATACTAGTCTTTTTTCATTCATGCTACACATGCGTACTCATGCATTGCATACACGGAATTAAGAATTGTGATGGTTGTTAATTCGTTTCATTTTGGTGATAATGAGTGTTTAACTTAGTAAAACTTTGGGAAAATTTTTAGATTTGTTACTACTTTTGTTTATGATGTTTAATGGACTAACGTAGGTGGAAATGGTGGAAGAGGTGGTGACGTGATTCTAGAATGTTCTACTGCAGTTTGGGACTTCAGTGGCCTGCAAAATCATGTTGTATGTTATCCTTCCTCTCTCCCTCTCTCTCTCTCTTCTCTCTCTCTCTCTCTCTCTCTCTCTCTCTCCTCTCTCTCTCGTCTTCAGTCAATCACTTTATCGAATGTGAATTGTGTTATATTTGTGATTCTCTGTAGAATGCAGGTAGAGGTGGACACGGAACCTCAAAGAACAAGATAGGAACTCGTGGAGAAGACAAGGTTAATACTTTTAAGATCCTTTCTTTACTTCCAACATTATGCTATCCACTCATGTTCTATTTAACGAATTGGAATTAAGAGATTCTTCTGTGTGGTAGATTCTCCAAGTGCCTATTGGTACTGTAATTCATCTTAAGAAGGGTGAAATACCATCCATGGTTGAACATCTTTCTTCAACTGATTTGGATCCTTGGGAACTCCCGGTACACTTGCTAACGATGAATCTGAAGTTGATCAGCAAACTGCCTCCAAGAACTCAAGTATGGCCGAGAAAGTCAAATCAGTGCATGTTGCTGGTCAGTTATTATCTTGTACTGAAATAACTGTGGAGCAATATTCATTAGAAAATGGAATGACTGTGGACCAATCAAGAGGCATGAAGCAAGCAAATGGGCCTGAATCTGAAGCTTTGGAAGAAATTAGGTATAATGTGGCAGAGTTAACAGAGCAAGGTCAGCGAATGATTGTTGCTCATGGAGGGGAAGGGGTTTAGGTAATGTATGTTACCGCAGGTGTCCAATGAAGCCTAAGACTGCAAAGCATGAAGTCCATAGGGATAAAGCATTGAGGTTGAAGTATCAAATGATGATCGATCCTCCCTTCGTACTGGTTTGCCTGGTTCTGAAGCTGTTTTTGTTTTAGAACTGAAGAGCATTGCTGATGTGGGCCTTGTAGGGATGCCCAATGCTGGTAAAAGTACTCTTCTAGGGGCTATCTCAAGGGCTAAGCCTGCAATTGGCCACTATGCTTTCACGACTCTGAGGCCAAATTTAGGGAATTTGAACTTGATGACTTCTCAATTACGTGGCTGATATTCCGGGATTGATAAAGGGTGCTCACCAGAATCGTGGACTTGGACATGCTTTTCTCCGCCACATAGAGCGTACTAAGGTTTTGGCATATGTCGTAGACTTGGCTGCTGCATTAGATGGTAGGAAAGGAATTCCACCATGGAATCAACTGAGAGATTTAGTCTTAGAGCTAGAGCCACCATCAGGAAGGTCTGCCCAATCGACCATCCTTGGTAGTGGCAAATAAAATTGATGAGGCTGGGGCTGAAGAAGTGTATGAAGAGTTGGAAAGGAGAGTACAAGGCGTTCCTATATATCGTGTCTGTGCAGTGCTGGAGGAAGGAATATCAGAGCTGAAAGCTGGCCTTAGAACGCTTGTAAATGGTGATGAGAAATCAAACTCACTCAGTGTAGAAAACATAAAGTGCTCATTAGCTGTAAGGAGAGAAAACTCCTTTTGACACCATTCCTTCTCTGTTCTAGTTTTGCATCTTAATTCGATTTTTGTTAGATAGATGCGTGCTTCCATTTTATTTTGTTAATTGCTTTTTGAATAAGTAAACCATGTCATGTTTCCTGGCATTAGGCTCAACTTTTGCATTTATTTCAGCATTATCAGAGTTGATTTTAATGCTCTTTTAAAATTCTGTAGATTTCTCTCCATCAGCCATCAGGACTAGTAGAAGTAATAAGAAGAAATAATTTTGTGGGGTTAAAAATATTTAAATAAACACCATCTTTTAAAAGAGAAAAGAATGGTAGAAACCAATAGAAGCAGAAAGCTTCTTCCAGCATCAGGGGTAATGGATCATTTAAAACCCACCATTATTTATATTATAACTATTAGCTTTTGCTACACATGCGAAAACCAAAAAGATGAAAAGATCCATAAATATTAAAAGAGAAAAACATACAGTGATCTAAACTATACTTGTTGAAAGCAGGGGACTCATCTCACCTAGTCACCAAGCTACCATTAATTCATCCAGGACACTCATGACAAGAAAAATATAGTGTTGAACTTTGATGTCTCTCTGTCATTACACGAAAGAACAACAAAACTTAGTTGTCTGCACGAAAGTGTCAAAGGTTACATCACTTTGGTGCCCACAAGTAATGCATCTTACCTACTACATGCATGCTTCATGCCTTTTTTTCTCACAAGCTCTTCTGTCCTTGCCTAATTACCAATTGTTTTTTTAATATACAATTTTCAACCCATCAAGTCATTCTCATCACTTACTCCAAAGTTTCGACATTCCCACAGTTGATTGATTAGAATTTATTGGAAAAAATATTTACACTTGAAAATGACATATATTTCCATTGCGATACTTTCTCCAATCCACTATGAATGAAGATTGTAGATATCTCCGCTTTGTCTACAATAGGTTAGTTGACTTCTTTTTAAAAGCTTGTAAGTATAATTATATGTGGATGAGTGACATCTTTCTTGATGGGCGGCAAATTTTCTAAGTATTCATAAGTGGACATTAATATTCAATATCTCTCATAATAAGAAATGAGAAAAAGATGAATATAACCCAAAGCAACAATTAGCTTTAGCAACCCATTTTATGTTTTTCATTTTAACTTGGAATGGAATAGTTCTTTTTATATCTTAGTTCACTAAAAATTGGAAAATATCCCCCCCCCCCCCCCCTTAATTAACTTATAATTTCACTCTATAATTTCTTGTTCTATGATAACAAGAATCAAACAATCATTCTCCAATTTTTGGGAAAGGCTTATTGTCTTAATTCATTGTGACAAATAAAATTTGTCAGATAAGACTAGTACTAGTCTCGGTATAGTGTAATATTAATAATTTTAGTGGCTGTCAACAAGGAAGGGCAATAGAGAAAGATTTGTCCAGAGTGTTTACTTGGGGGAGAGACTGATGCAATTGTACAATTCCAAAGACGCAATTATCCAAGGATTTTGCCACGTGTACGGTGAATATACACTCTCCATCTTTTCCAGTCCACTATAAGTACCAGTCCGGTTCTCTCAAACAAACTCACCTGGAGATTGCGTTTGTCTATTGAATTTGCTAGTACAAGTTATTTCCAGAAAAATGTCTCAGATGCAGCTGCGGTTCTGGATGCAAATGCGGCGACAGCTGCGGGTAATAATTCCTTTTTATTTTTCTTTGATTGGTAATAATTCTAAATGTTTTGTGTATGTATATGAGCATATACGTGCGTGTTTAACTTGTTTGATTTCAATCTTTACCTTTGAACATTGCAGATGCAGCAGGAACCTTAACTTGGAATCCTCAGAGAAGACCACCACTGAGACCATCATCTCTGGAGTTGCGACAGTGAAGACGTTAGTATCAAACAAAATTGGATTCCAATTTCATTACCAGTAAGCCAGTTTTTATGGGAATTAAGAGTATTGAAATCAGGGTTTAACTTGCAGGAACTTTGAGGGGACCGAGATGAGCACTGAAGGAGGGAATGGTTGCAAGTGTGGATCAAACTGCACCTGCGATCCATGCAACTGTTAGCCGAAGAAACATCCCAACGACAAAGCAGCAATGTCCTGTAATAATTAAAGATTGAGGAGACACACAGCAAAGAAAAGAAAAAAGAGTTTGATAGGGTCTATGTGTGTCTTTGTCATGTAGTGCTTGTCCTAAATAAAACAGCCAGGGCATTTGGCAATATTCCTTTTCCAAGGATTTGCTGCTGCTTCGTGGCTAGCTCGGTCTTTGTTTAAATTGTATAACTAGTCGCTGCATTTGTCTGTATGGAGTCTTGTGTAAAAATGGCAGCCCGGAAGGGGGGACCTTCAGCTGATTGGAGTGAATGAATCACTAATGAATGCATCTAGCTCCTTTCATTTGTGTTGTCAAATTTTATTTCTTCCTACAATTTGTATGGTTGATTTGGTCATCAAGGAGAAAATTGTGTGCCAAGTTGATGCCTATGTGATAATGACTTAAAACAATATTGTCAACAATGAACAAGCTCTCTTTGTTGATTGGATCAACCGATGGGATCAAATCCCCATCTTCATCATGGACTAAGAAAAACTGAAAGTTATTTTCATTGGCAATATTATAGTAGGTGGCTTATTCAGACTTTATTTTGTATGTATTACTATATGCTAAGGCCAAAGAGTGGCAAAAAACACAATCTAAGTCATATATATGGTGTAGTCTACTTCAAAACTCAATCCAAATTTATATTAAAAAAAATGTAATAAGTTTAACTTGATATAATTCAAAAATTGTAATTACCCAAATCCAAAATTATTAAAACTTTATTTTTATCTAAACTAAATTGTTACTTAGATGTAACAAAAATTAATTCAAAGCCTAGTGATCTAAGTACCTAGCCCTAAATCCTAGCTCAATTTCAACCTTGAATAAGCCATTGGCAGAATCATCATAAAAGAGATAGCTGAGCTGTGGTCTTTGGGTCTTGGACAATGGGCCTATCTTCGAGACCATAACTTACCAAGTTACAAAATCCAACTGTTTAGTGAGAAAGTCGAGAGCCGAAGCATGCAAAGGCACTGGCTCTGCTACGACACCGAAGGCTTTCTTTCTCAAGTGTTTAATGCCACTACCTCATGTCTCGAGGTTCTTTTGTTCCCAAACGGCTCATAACCTTCAAGGGCAAACTTCAGATTGAGAACAAGGAGAACCCAAGTGTTTATATTTGAGAATTGAGAGACTCCTTAAAGAAGAAACGGTTGGGTCAGCATTTCAAAGCAGGATGGCTGATGGGTTTCCCCTTCATGGAGATTATATTTTTCACGCTATTAATCGTTTGAGAAAACTTAAATTGAACAAACGTGCTCCTTGAGGTAAATTACTTTCTCAGTAATTAGACTAAAACTTTGGGTTTTTTATATAGTTTCTGTGTGATTGCTAAGAATAATTAACTAAAAGAAAAAGAAAATTTTGTTCCGAAACAAGGAAGAGGCTCAATCTCAACTATGTCAAATGGTTTCATGGAAATATTCTTTTTTATTTTTACCTTTAGGAAATCCCAAATGCCGAAGAACTTGTAATTTAAAATGTATAGTTGTTATTTTGGCTACGTTTGAGTATTGCTATGCCAGCATGTTGAAACAGTATCAATGCCGGAACTTTAATGATAATGAAAAAGAAAAAAAAGAAAATACTAGAAAAGGCATTGCATTTTCATTAGTTGAGCACTTGATCACACATACACATATATGTATATCAGTTTATTCGTAGAAACATATTAGCTTCGGCACTAAAATTGGAATTTGCTTGACCCCTTTGAAAAGATGTGCGTTTGTACTTGTGGGCAGGTGGATATAACTCTGGGGATTTTTTTACTTCTGATAAGTGATGGAATTGGTGATTAGAGAGAGACCATACTGGCCTAAAGAGTCAATGCCGACTCTCCTTGTAAATGAAACTCTTCTGTCCGCCACCTATTTACATTTTGTGGCTAGTCGAAGCTTTTGCTGGAATTGTTCTCTTTTGCCAGCAAATACATAGGTTGCTTTATGCATGATTAGCTTTGTATCCGCTATTTATATATGTTTGCTGGGTTGAATGTACAAACTATAGAACTTGAATTAGACCTAGCAGGTGTGTCTTTGTGAATCAAATGCTGTGATTTTCATGTGTAAATAAGTATGTGAATGTTATGTATATAAAAATTCCTCAATGAAATTCAAGCGCCTAATGACATGAAATCACCTCTGTTTATTTGCTTCTGCTGTTTTAAGTCTACACTGCCCTCGCAGCTGCAACCCAAAAAAGAAGCCATGTCAATGTAGTATGCTTTTAAATGATGGAAATATCCCAGAAAAGTGTGATTGAGAAACCGTCTACAGTTTGATTGAGAAAAGGGGTGCCTTGTCCATCGTAAAATTAATACATGGAGCTGACAGTGAACCTGAAAACCTACTTGATGGCATGTCCTCTTCTTCTTCTTCTTCTTAACCCAAAATAAGAAACTGTTTTCTTCGTTTTTTCGACAGTGCATGCGTATGTCTTCTAAATACTTAGCTGAATTGACTGCTTACAAAGTGAATAAAGATAATTGAGTTGAGTGTGTGCGTTTACCAAAAAGCCATTAACAAAAACTACAAAATGGTAGTATTTTCCTGAGATCTTTTTATTTCCATATGACAGATTTTGAGCTGCCTAGCTGAGTTGGGTACACTTATGTATATAGGTAAAATAACATACATACATCTAGATGTGTGTGTATGTATACATCTAGATGTGCATTTGCTCGTACATTCAAAAGAAATACGAAAAGGCGCACTATATCATTCTTAGAACCTAAAACAAGGGTTGCAGCGATTTCTTTTCTTTTTGATTTTTTGTTTGTTTAAATTCACATTATAGAACAAGCATGAGGATTCTCATCACTAAAAGCTGAACCATTTTGGTTACCAAATATAGTTGAATGAGCAGGGTGGTGATAATAGGCAGGATCATTGCTATCATATCCATGCTTATAGTAATTGTAAGAAGATGAAGGCTGGGGTGCATAATATGTCAAGGGTCCATTGCATTGGTGTTGATTGTAGTAGTGATTAGCAAAACTGTGGTGTTCTGGATTGTAAGGCAACTGCCACAGCTCAGCTCGCCTGCCGGTTTTCCGGACGGTTTTAAGAACCTTTTTCTGGTCAGCCCATCCGGTGACCGTCACCTTTTGCATTCCGATATCAATGTCAACTTCGTCAACACCTGCGTGTGCACATGGAAATCCCTAATGTTATAAATTGAAGAATTCTTAAATACAAGTGAAAAATCATATAGAAAAACTATAACATTGATTGGTGTTGATAATTTGTGGTACCAACCTTTAACTTTCTGAAGAGCACTTTTCACCTTGCTTTCACAGCCAGCACAGTCCATATGAACTCTCATCTCTATGATCTGAGAAAATAAAACCAATTAAATGAATTAGTACTGACGGGATGATAATTGAGATGAAAGTAACTACAAGAAGTAGAATAATTGAAGTTGTTTAAGTAGAATAATGGAACAAGAAACAAATTAAGACATTTGCTTACCGTCATTTTGCTTGCTTGAAAGGCTTAGAGAAATCCAACTAGCTATCTGAAAATTCTGGTTTGCAAAGTGTGTATATGATTTACTTCCAAGGTGGATGATACATGCATATCAAAGTCTACTTCCTTATATACAAACCTTGGTCCCTCTATGATAATTGTTCTCAATTATTTTTTGTTTATGTTGGTATGCATAATGTATGATTAATGCACCGACTTTTAAACTCTCAACGGTCTTGCAGGGGAAGATGTGGGATCTTGAAGCAAAGTTAAGAGAGGTGGGCAGAGAGCTTTGAGAAGGCAAAGCCACCTTGCTTTGCATGGGCATCCGCACTTTCTAAGATAAGTAACATGTTCTCATCAACACGGGCGGCGTTGACTTGAACATTGTGGAATGTTAAATAATCAGCTCCACGTGAAATTAGCTTAAGCTGCCATGGTTTCTCTGGACAGAAAAAAGTTCCAAGAAACCTTTTTTATTCTACGAGTTCTAACGTGCGGTAATGATTAATGAGATTAAAGAAAAAAAATAGCCAAAATAATTTAGAAATGTTCGTGAGTTGAGTTTAGATTGATTTTAAATTGGACTTTATTGCATCGAAACTTAGATAATGACTGTTCATAGCATATTAATTATATATCAACCATCTCGTACAAAATAATTAAATAAGGCAATGTAACTTTGCCCATTGGACATGGAATGTATTGAAAAGAATAGGTTGTGAGCACCTAATCCAGGTCGTGTTATTAACTACGCAGGATATATCAAATTGGTTTTTAAGCTTTAATACTTTCATGAGACTACTACAGAATTATAATCAAAGCCAAAAGTTTCAATCTAGTTAAATTCAATTTTAAAAAGAAATAGATAGGATCTTCGATATAAGAAAATTTTGAGAAATTTATTAATGTGGTTGTTGCATATTTTATCAAGTTAATTTTTTAAATAATAATTTTGTGATAAAATGATATTAAAATATATTTAATCTTAACTCGATTCATATCAAGCATATCTAGAAGAGATATGCATAATTGTTAACAAGAATAAAAATATCAAAGTGAAAGAGAATATTATGTTAAATATTTAAAAAATAAAAAAATTTATAAATATGAATATTACTATCTTTGTCACGTTGCTTCTTTAGAAAGAAGATAATGTTGTTGTACTCTTGATTCTTGCTGTCACATGACCTAAGCTACAAGGTAACAGCACAAAGCATCATTCAAGAGATGAAAGATTTCTCCATCACCGTCTTGGGAGGGCTTACAGTAAAAAAGTCCAGGAGTGGTTTGAAAGTTGAAATGGGAACCTTTATCGCACGAATCATGAGCTTTAAAGATACCCAAATTAACAGCCTATCCCACTCAACAGACCTCTGATTGGATCTCAGAACACTGTGTTAGATTTGTTTTTAGTAGAAAATGTTTACAACTTTTCAGGCCCATCAGGCCTTGATCTGTCTCAAGTTCTTTGACTTGGAGAACTTCTGTTACAAGGAAAGTTGGTGAGCAAATCAAATCCCCGTAATCCTCTTAATATTTGACCAACCACAGAGCGGGCACCAATGGTAAAACCTCACATTCACTACAATGCCTGAAATCATCACAAGCCCCTTTCCAACTTTCAACCAACGCCGTATTCGCAAAGTAAACCCTTTTGTCAGCTTCAATGCTTCCCACGCCCCTTTCCTGACCAAAAGTAGGAACCCGAAGAATGATGGCTTTGTGCGTTTGTTTTTTTTCTGTCCATTACAATGCTGGCGGAAGGGGAAATGCATGAGGTGAGGCTAGGATGTGCAATACTGCTTAGACATTAGACTATAGATCTTGAACCAGTTGGTGTAATTACACAGGACAGGTTGTTCCATTGTAAAATCAGCCGGTTCTTAATATTACCCGACCTGATTTAGATCCAACCATGTGGTCATACTGATTTTAGTGGAATCTCCAACAAAGGCGTATGTTAATCAGGAATTACCTTAAAAACTGTCGAATGCAAAGGCAAGAGGAAGGTGCCAACAGCTAGATTCTAGTCGATAGTTCAGTTGACGGTTTCTCCATGGTAGCATCAAAGATTTGAAATGGAATATTGCCTTAAGCGAAAAGGGTTCAAGGATAGAGAGTTGATGGGTGGGGGGCAAAAGAAACAAACGAAAAGAAACCACTTGAGGAGTAATTGCCGCTTTGTCTCCTAAATACAGGCCTTTGACGTTGACAACAATAGTTATTACCGTAAACTGACAGGTGAAAAGCAAGATAAACTGATAAGAAACCACTTCATGTTCAAGATGAAGGACAAAAGAGAAAAGCTAGTCAAATGCTTTGAGTTGTACAAAAGCGACGTAGAGCTTAGGAGTTAACCACTAAAACAAGATTATAGGGACCATTTTTGTCTGTGACTACTGATCTGTCTTTCCTGTCTTTCAATCTTTTGGACAACTTTTAGCTTCAATAGAGAGCACCACTGTTTTTCCTACTTTTATTTACATTCAAAAAATAATAACAAGAATCAAGAAAATTGGGTTACTACTGAAATGGGGAATAATCAGCAAAGATACAGTTCTGAAAAAAAAATTGGCAAAGAAAAAGAATTGCATGAACTCTTGTTAAATCTCAATCTGAAGGAATGGAAATCGTTCTAGAAGAGAGGCTAGCAGGGCTATCCTCGCAAAGACTGAGTGCTCTCTCCAAATTGGCAACAATGTCCGTCATATTAGGTCTCTCCTTTCCCTCCAAATTCACGCAATGCATAGCTGTATAAGCCATCAGCTCCACAGCCTCAGCCTCGTGAATCTCTGGCACCCCAACCCTTCTATCCACCACTGCTCGGAGATCCCCTGCCAATATCCTCGGGCTGGCATATTCTACCACCCCCATTGGCCCTGTCCCATCTTCTTCACTTTTGAAAACAGCTTTTCTTCCTGTCAAAAGCTCTAACAACACCACCCCTAAGCCATACACATCGCTCTTTGCTGTCAGTACATTCAATACATAGTATTCTGGATCAATGTATCCAACTGTCCCAACTGCCCTGGTTGACATATGTTCTTGATCAGATTCTGGTCCCATTAATGATAGACCAAAATCTGAAACTCTAGCTGTCCAATTCGCATCTAATAGTATATTTGACGACTTGATGTCTCTATGAATTATAGGTGGTACGGCATAGCTGTGAAGGTACTCAACCCCTCTTGCTGCATCTAATGCAATTTTGATCCTCATTTTCCAGGAATTTAGAATGCTACTACCCTTTTCAATATTGTCCTTTTTATGTAGATGATCATAGAGGGCGCCATTGCTCATGTACTCATAAACCAAAAGCCTCTCATCATTTTCTTGGCAGAATCCAACTAACCCCACTAAATGCTTGTGGTGAAGACGTGATAACAACGCTATTTCTGAATCAAATGCAGTTTCTTTCTCTTGGAATTTCTTCACCTTTGCGGAAGTTTCACCTCTTTTAATGGCAACTTCACGACCATGAGGAAGTTTGCCTTTGTAAACCACCCCAAAGCTCCCAGCACCAATCCTGTTTTCCAGCGAGAAGTTGTTAGTAGCATTAGAAAGCTCTGATAGTGAAAAAAATTGGGTTTTCTCTGCATGTTTTGATGATGATGACCCACTTCTCTGGCGTCCTAGTCTCTGTGAGCTGTTGCGCCTGATGGAAAAGGATCTTAAAGGTGGAGCGATGGAATCATTATTATCCACAACAGTCGTAATTATATTGGCACCTGTAAGCGTGGGTTGCACAGAATTATGTGTCCTGCAAAGCAAGAAGCCACATACTCCTGCCCATAAACAGTAGAAAATAGTGCAAATCCCTGCAAAAGCTCCGATTGATCCTACAATCAAAAATGCCAACGAAAGCCTGTTAATACCTTTCCTTGCTGGAGAAAATGGCTGCAATCCTTGTGATGGGAGTGGTGCTAAAATTGGCGTCAACGGCACTGGAATTGGAAGTTCAGTCTGGCATGATTTGCAAATGTTCCCTGAACCATCACACAAGGTCTCAGAATTCAGATACGTACCACAATTACATGAAGCCTGAACACATGGACCTGGAATTACCATTCCCAAAGGAAGATCACTTGTCGAATTACTCCCATTAGACCACCCAGGACCCCAACAAATCATTGTTAAATTCCTTGTTGCCAAGCCGCAAATAAAATTCAAACCAGCAACAATTGACTCAAATGAAACGCCTTGAACTGCATCATAATCAAATTTAGATCTGTTATCTCCTCCCCAGCATAGAACCAATCCATTTCTTCTCCTAATACCACAACCCAAATTGCTTCCCAATGAAAGACCTGAGAACTCAAAAGCTGAACTAGAAGGAACATCCAGTTGTCCGGACTCATTATTCCCTCTACAAACCAAGAATCCTGTCCTGGTCAATCCACAAGCATGAGAATCTCCAGCAACCAAACTTGACATTGACAAGTTACCATACTGTCTTTGGATTTCAGCTCCAATCTTATTACCACCCCAACAGGAAACTGTGCTATCATTCTTCAAAATCCCACAAGTAAAGCCACTCCCTGATGTGATTGCACGAAACTTCAAACCTAGCCCCGGTGACGGAAACGGAGAACCACCTCCTCCTCTCCAGCATCTAGCTATACCAGAATCCACCTCTCTCGCACAAACCTGAGCATCACCAACCGCCAGGTCAGTCAACGGGACATTGTATTTGAAATAAATACGCTTCGGCCTAAAACTTGAATTCATTGAAGTTTTAGTCTCCCAACAGAGGATGCTGAATCCACCTGACCTGAGGCCACAAAAGAAGCTTGTGCCACCAGAGATTGCTTCGAATGATACGTTTGGCAAAACTGAAATGTTGAGTCCATTTTGGTAGCACTGGACTCTCTGTGTTGGCTCACCAGCAATGATGCCGCAAATTGTACCCGTGCCAAAGGTGACAGCCACCGTGGAGGCCGAGCCGAGGGCAGCAACAACAGGACATTCTGTTGCTAATGAAATGATGATAATGGTGGTGAGGTGGAGGGAAATGGTGAAGGAGAAGGGTGTTAGGGTCATTTGAGAGATGGTAGTTTCTTGTTGTTTCTCATCGAAGAAGAGTATAAAG